AACGGTGTAAAAAGGGTCGCGGACTGAGCTTTCATTCGATTTTAGCGTGAACGCGTCCCTTCCATTTGCGTCTATCCTCGCAGCATTGTATTACCGAATCGCCTTTTGATTTACAACACTCGTTAATCAGCGTACGTTCGAGCACAAACCGTTGCCAGCACTCGCTGTCCTCAAAATAGTTTACAGGAGTTAAAGCGTAAGACGTGAAATGCATTCCCGTCGAGATTAACGAAACGCCGACAGCCGCAATTAATGGGACCGTCGAAACGATTGTCCTTCACGGTATTTATTTCATATTGGGATTAATAGCGGCCCGATAGCGAACATTTCATCGCACTGACATCGTGACATCAAAGTTTCATTGTTCCGGATTTCACGCGGTAATTTTAACAAATCGATCCGAAATTATTTCCACTCTATATTCATCTTTGATTTGTTCACAAAATTATGTTTAAAATAAATGTCAAGTTTTTAAAGAAAATTGTCATTTATTCAGTGATATTTGTTGTGTTCAGAGCTACTACTCCAAAATATTTAACACCCATTACAATGTACAGGAAAAATTATTCAAAGTATACAATTTTGTAATTGTTAGTTCATCACTGTTACTCAGTTATATTTGTCAATCATAACTATATCAATTTCAAAGATCCACATTTTTCGAACGATAAAAATCATTTCTGAATACATAAATAATCGAATACTTTGAACCAGTAGTAAAATCAGGTATGCGCTTAGAACGTTACCGACGGTGACCGAAGTTTCAAAAGCGGCAGCTCCAAAAATAAAAGTAACTACCCTTAATCAACAGCAACCCAGCTTCTCCTATATAAATTACACTTTACAAAACATACGGAACATATCGATAAAATATTTGAATTGGGTAGGTAGTGTTTAATATGTCGGCCACATTAAACTATATATGTTTTTATATATCGGCCGCAGTGTCACTATACTCGCAGAAGATGAAACAAAAAGGAAAAATGGGAACACGAAGGATACCAAAAACACAACACTAACCGTAGTAGGCAGAGGTGTAAGGTATTCCGGACGGAGGTACTGATTCGCGCTGGAAGTGAGCATCGTAGAAAAGATGTGATTCGCGCCTCCCTCTTCGCACAATTTTTCCCCTTTTCCAACGGAACCAAAACACTGTGATCACACGCGACAGCCCGCCGAGGACCGGGCGAGAACGGCAATTAAAAAATAAATCCCTCGACGAGATCCCGCGGTTACACTTTTCTTTTCTTCTTCTTATTCTTCTTCTTCTTCTTCTTCTTCTTATTCTTCTTATTCTGCTTTTTCTTTTCTTCTCCCTTTTTCAATTTGTCTCCTTATATCCGTAGTGACGAGACGAGCAAGTCGCACGTGAACGAAGCCATTTAGCGGCTTTCAGGTGCGTTTCTTTCTCGCACACACAATTCCTTCTCAACGTGCCGGGAGCACAATGCACGGGAACGTCGTTGCAGCGGATGAAAAAAGGGCAGTACACGATACGCATTACACAACACATACATATACACCTACACTTAAGTTCACGCGGCCGACTTCAAATCGCGACTGACTGAGGATCGTGTGGTACTGTTCCGCCGGCAGGGCCGTCCCATGCACTCCCTCCACCGCAACGCGACGATGAACGTTCAGCTGACTCACCCCGCCATGCCGCGCCGCGCCACGATTCGCGGCGAAGCTCACCCCTTCGAAACTCGGTCGGTACATTCTACGGTAGCTTCTTTTAATTAGTACTGCTAGATTATTTGGTAAATAGTTGAGAATATAAGGTAATTGATAGCGTGAAAGTTGTTTGGTAGAGAGGGGTACAGGTTTTCGAGCAAGTACCTTCTTTGTTGTTGTGGAAATGAGTTTAAAAGTGGATTAATTTTCTTGAATCTTATTTAGTGTAGAATGACTGAGATTGCTCAAAATTTTCATTAATTCTTGCTTTTCTTTCATTCGTTGTGTATCTTTTAACACGTTGAATGCCGCACGATTTCATAGAGCAAAATCTATAAAATGGAGAAAATATAATATTAAATCATCTGATTGAATTGCGTTATTATTATTGCACCTTCATCTAGCTGAATGTCACCGCATTAAGTAGCATTAATTATAATATAGAAATCTTTTCAAATAATCATAGTATAACTGAGTGAATTATAGTAATTCGATTTAGTTGGTGGTCACCGGTGACCCCTATGACGTTCAACGTGTTAATTAGAATCCAGTGTTTGATTATTGTACCGAATAAATTGTCTATGAGACTTTCTGTCGTAGTTGCGGAAGTTTGAACGTCTGTAGTTGTTAGTGGTTAAACGCAACGCTACGAATTTATGTGTTTCGAGTAATATCTGATTTGTGCAGATTCTGTTACGAGAACAAGTGGATTTGTGAATAGACTAGACGAAACAATAAATTCCTTTGACGTATTAATGTATTCTCATTTTAGAAAGTTCATTTTTTAGAAAGTTCCTTTCATCGTTTTACTTCTGTCTTTAATTTAACCATTGTCGTATTACACGCGTTAAAAATAATATACAAATACCATATCATGTACAAAAATGTCTCAACTCAAATGTTATACGTTTTTATAGTTAACTCAATCTTTGATAAGTTTGCATAATAAAAAGGACAAATATATTCAGTCCTATAAAAACTCGATAATCAAACATAAAATATCCTAATGCCTAATAATGCAAAATACTTGCACAAAGTAAACGTAATTAACTAAATAAAATATGTAATACATTATAATATATATATATTGTATATATAATTTTTTATTATTATATCTTTATACTATATTATTTATATATCTATATTTATATTTATATTTATAGACACGTATGTTTTTATATACATTCAGCCAGATTCAATTAGTAGCCGCTGTTATATAAATGTAAGATGGGAGATTTCCCCACCTTGTCGACGGGTATAGGTATACGATGACGAAAACGACGAACACGAGGAGCAAGCGCGACCAACCAATACGAACGAAAGAGGTAAAGGCGACGGCGGGCGGCGGTGTCGGCAGCGACGGCAATGGAGGCGGTGATGTTCGAGACACGGTGGTCGCTGTCGGTACGCGCTACGCCGACACTTATGCCGGGTGCAAGCGACCCGACCAACGACGTGTCAACTTGTGCGAGGTGCCCCTGCGACTCCTACCTTCGACCTACCCCGCCGCGAGCTCCATTCCTTTCCCCTCCCTTGCCGCCTGTTTCCATTCCCTTTTCCCTTCTTCTCGTCTACTCGACTTCTATTACTGTTACACCCACTCCAAACGTTTTAATGCCAACCAAATCTACATTCTACTTCATTATCTCCCTATCCTCTTACCTAGCTTCGAACTGCTGATGCGTCACCATATAACACACAAATGGAGGATTTTTAATTTTCATGCGAATGATTTTGCTATTTAGACTAAATGAAAGTTTGAACATTTTGAACATTAAAATATACTGCATACGGAAATAGATGCAAAAAGTTCTTAGACTTATCAAGGTTTTAATAAAGTAACACTGTTTATATTTAAGAAATAAACTTTATTACAGTAACAGTTGTAACTTGTGGTACTGTTATTTGGTAAACAGTGCATTACTAAAAGTAAATATACAGTTTTTATGGTCTAAAGCTGCTCTTTCTATTCGATAATGTATACAAAAAACGTTATTACTCCGAAACATTGTACAACTTCATATTTTTGAGCTCGATTGTATACAATGCTTGACTACAGTTACATCGAAACATGTTTCGACAGGATATTTTTACATGTGAATAATACAGGAGATAAGGACTATAAATTTTGTTTGTTCTTCTTAGAACGGGGACAATGCCGAACATAAAAAGATGAGTAAGTAGACCAAGTAATATAACTGTAATTGCAGACATTTTTTGTCCCTTCACATTTATGATACGTGCACTTTCACCAAAGGAAGGGATGAGTCTGAGGGTTGCCATAAAATACTTCTTTGCAGTGGAAGTAAACGTAGGTATGGTTTATGAATGGTTTGTCTGTCATCTCTACGCCGCAGTGATAAAATGTCAGCAGAATATTAAATATTTAAACAATATATTCGATTGTCCATTAATAATAAATGTGGGGGCCAGTAATTAAATATTATAACTGTCAAGTTTCGGCTCAGCGTGATTTTTACTTAGGACAGATGCGAAGTTCATAGTTTTATGATCGACGCATAAAATGAATTTTGTTTTACAATCTTGTGTACACAATTACTACAAATTATTGCTGGTATTAGTGTTAGTAACAAATATCATAAATAACTGTTAACTCCACAACCCACACTTTTCGAGGCTGCATTTGAATAGACTGTCATATTGTAAAAACCCATCGTCAATCGTATATCATATATTTCGAAATTTTCTGGACATTTTATTCTTTTATTATTCCCAAGCATCTGGTTAAATTTTTACAGATTCGCCGCAAATGAAAGTCGAAAAAGTTAAGGAAAAGTGACAATGATATTATTCGAAATGTTTCAATTAAACGTCTCGTATCCGCGGGAATTGTACGCGGAATAAATTTAACCGCGGATACATTTTAAATGCATATGTAACGCGAGGGGTCGAATGCATATTGTAACGATTAATAAATTTGGCTGAAATAGATTGAGGCGGTAATGGTACTCGTATATGGACCGCAGACGCGGATAGGTTCATGCTGCATCGAAATGCATATCAATTGTTTCATGGAAATTCGAGTGTTACTTCCCTTCATTACTATTCACAGAATTATATGATTGCACCGCGTACACGTGCAACGCAGACAAGTTGATTTACATAATATTCGTATTGATCACGGAACTCCGCGTTATTAGGTAAGTTAATTTGATCCGTCATTTCAAACGATCATTCTCGATACACTTTTTTTTCAATTAGTCAAAATTAGAACGTTCGGATTTTATCCCCTTGTTTTAAATGTGCAATTAAAATAATTACTGATATTGCGCAACGCATCAGAAATTAAGGAAACAAACCAGAATTATTTTACCAATTTTATTGGTATTACCAATATTTCACGCAATGCTACATTATATTATTCCTTTGGTTTATATAATAAAATAATGGAACAACAATCGGTACTAATATTAAAGAATAACCTTACTATATGATTACACTGAGTTAACAACCGTTCGTTAAAAAAAAATGTATGTCAGAATGTTCGGTTATGTTAACGTCTGCTCATCTAGTGTCCTGATGGCAAAAGATAACCGTAAGATTCTTTAGTCGGCGCCACGTAAACATGTTGTCCTCGTCCGCATAGTCAGGGGAAGGGAAGACACGAATAATTATATAGCACTCTCATCTCTCACCAAAGCGTATCCTCTAACTAGCGCTAATAACGCCGCTAATGCTCTTCCGTGAAAACTACTCGTATCTAACAACCACTTCGCTACCATTTCCACCACAAAGGTAAGACGAGAATAGCAACGGGACGTTATTATTTCTTTTTTACTTAAAAATGGGATCCCCGATGGTAACTACTACCAAATTAAGATCTCTGTTCCTTTGTGTATTCTATGTTCTTTCGGTATCATTTTTTTACTTTTCTTTGTGCAGTAAAAAAATTATTTAACTTATCTAATTCAAACACATGTATTCCAATTACATCATTTAAATTTTATTTATCGATTTTTGTATTTATATTATGCAGGATTCTAGGCGATTCTGAACGATACGATTTGTGTTATGAAATTATAATTTCTTTGTTCCAGCGAAATTATGATTGGATTGTAGGTATTGTATATAATTATGTAACATGGAATAACAAATATAGCTACGATGCGTGAGGGACGGATTTAATTTAAACTTAACCACAGTTTATTATCTAAAATTTTCAACGAAATAGTAAATAATTATTATACCGCACGTGATTGTGCAATTTCACGTTTTTCAATATTAATTTACAAATATGACAATCAGACCGAAATATTTTCCACATACTCTCTGTGTTATGGAAATTCTTAAATAAAAAATTAAATGAAGGCAACGTTACACTTTGTCAAAACCGATATTTCGTTATATTTTATTTCTTCACGTGTGCTATAAATACGTAAATATCAAGACAATAATAATAACAATGTTGAATTGTAATTCACACGATATATACTTCACACAAGTTACGATAAGGTCGAAAAGTATTTATATAACATTTATTAAATCATTGTATCAATTTATATTATATATATAAAATATATATATGTATAATATAAACAAGTTGATTTTAGTCGGTGCATTTTGATGCTGGCGGCATAAATCCTTTATTGTCTCATTCTTCCCAGGTTTTGTTCTGTGTAATAATAATCTCTGCAATCAGACACATAACGATTTCAATTTTAATTATCACGTTTCACACTGAGCATTAAAACCTCAATCAGAATCGCTTAACCTCATTAAATCAAAGAGTAGATTATAAGAGATGGCCAATATTGTAACTAATATAACGCAATTAGATACTGGAACAATGTGTGCCTACATACTGAGTGATTTATGCAACTATGCATAACGTTGCATCAACAGGATGCATATTGACTGAACGTTATATTCTAGCAGGTACAATGCAATGATAAATGATTTATGTT